TTTAAGCTTGAAATATAAACGAGCCGAACAAGAACAAATATTTGTTCGCTCGTGTTCGGTTTAAATCGACTCGAAAAGAAATAAATAAATAAATAAAAATATAAATTTATTCAATAATCCGCGGTGTTATTGGTGTTATTCTGCAGAGTAACACCAATTAACACCGCTGTGATAATCAGGAGTTATTCACAGTGTTATTAGCGTTGTGGGTGTTACTCCGCGGTGAATAACACCACCGACTAACACCTCGGAATAACACCTGAATAACACCTCGAATAACACCACAATGTTATTCGTGGTGCTACTCGATGTTATTTCGCGATATATGTTCTACCGAGCTTATTTCGAACCGAATTCGAGCAGAACACGAACAAGAATATTTTATTCGAGCCGAACATGAACACAACACCTCGAATAACACCACAATGTTATTCGTGGTGTTACTCGATGTTATTTCGCGATATATGTTATACCGAGCTTATTTCGAACCGAATTTGAGCTGAACACGAACAAAAATATTTTATTCGAGCCGAACATGACCATAGAAACAAAATGTTCACAAGCCATTTCGAACATGAGCCAAATTGGAATGAGCCGAACACGAGCCGAGGCTCAGCTCGCTCAAGCTTGGCTCGTTTATAACCCTCCTCAATAGAGCTTGAGGAGACAAAAGCCCTCACCAACATAGTAGCAGGGTCGGTCTTAGTGACAATCGAATCTCAACCACCATGGGCACCACCAGGCCAGAGATTTCAGTCCCAGGAGATTAGACTGAGATGGTGGTACGCTCGCATATGCTTTCGGAGACAATACAATCGATAATGGGATCCAAATGCTGCTATGATTAAAGGCAAGGGACCATAAGTTTCGATAGATGAGGTCGAAGCTCCTCCAACCCCGGGAGACTGAAGCGGGGCTCGGGAGAGGACCAACCGGTCCTCAAGGGAGGGGGCTGCCCCTTCCTCCTCTTCCCTCTTTCCTTTTTGTACTCCTTTCCTTTTCTCACCTTTTCTCTCTCCTCCTCGCCTAAGCACTTTCTAAATTTAAATTCTTTTTCTGAAATATGAGATCTGATTTTATTCTCCCTTCTTATTTTACAAAGCCTTTTCCTATAATATAAAATTTGATTTTTATTCTCCTTTTTCGTTTTTGAAAAGCCTTTACAAAAATCTGAAATCAGCTTTTTATTGTCCTTATTTTAAAGGTTTCATGAGATAGGTTGTGTTTCTTTATAAATAAGAGAGGTGGTGCTTAAAGTTAGAGGCTGGTTTTTATGAAAATCTAAATTCAGTTTTGTTTGAGTGTTTTTTCTCTTGAGAACTGTATCCGATGACAAAGTAGTGCTCCGATTGTCCCTTGTCTGAGGTAGTGATTGTTTCTACGGGCTCGGGTAGTGCTCCGGCTATAGCTAGACCCCGCCGAGATATTTTTTTCTCCATCCATCCTCTTGGCTGCTGTCAACCGCTTCTCCAGCTCCTACAGCAGACCCCCACCCTTTCTGTTGTCTCCCCACGATCGTCGACAGCCTTTTAGCCTGCCATTGTTCGTCGGCCTTCCTCCCTACATCTTCTTGCAGGCTAAAACACCCGTTGCCCCTCTCCTGCATCAACAACAACCTTCCGATCACCTCTACCTGCTGCTCACCTCCCTACTCCAAAAGGTCGCTCCTCCTTCCTACAGCTTCCTGCAGGCTGCAGCCCCCACTGCCCCTCTCTAGGATCAACAACAACCTTTTGGCCACCTCTACCTGTTGCTCATCTATCTCTTCTAGCAGGCAACGCCTCCTTTCTGCAGCTTTCCTACAGGCCGCAACCGCTGTTGCCCTTCCATGTTCCCTCCCACTGCGGTTCGACGCCCCTACCATCACTGATTTGTTACCCTTCCTTTCTACAGTATCAAGACACATCTTCGGCCTTCACCGCAACCACCTACCTTGCACCACCGCGCGAGCTTCCTCCTCATCAAGCTTGTTGCTTCTTTTTTCGAATCTTTCTTTGTAATTCTTTGTTTTATGTTTTTGCTTTGTGTGTTGTCCTTTTTTTTAGTTTTCATTGTAACCTTTGTTTAAGCCATTAATAAAATTGTGTCGTGCATCATGGTTTGGGTAAACTCCGATATCATACATGCTAGGATGTTTCAATCCTCAGTAATAATTCCCAAAAGAGCGAAGCATGTTGATCCATGAAGGGCACCTAATCACATTAAAAATAATTTATTCTCATAAAAGCATCTTGCAATATCTAAACACTCTATTTTTATATTCTTTTGCAGAGCTAAAGGAGGAATTAGTTGAGCTGATATTCTTATCTTCATCTATATTCACTACAAGTTTATCCATTGGTTCTCGAGTTCCTCTATCGGAAGAATGCAAATGACTTTCACTTCTAGAACCATAATTACTATTCCCAATCATCTTTTCTATATTTCTTTGCACCGTTTCTTTTTAGTACAGGAAATAAATGTGACAAATTAAAATAACATATCTTTTTTTTTGTGTGCAATCCAAGTGATCTTTAAGTCTCTGCACACCACTAGTAAATCGCTTATCACAAAATTTACATTTCAAAAAAACATATCCTTTTTTACACCTTCTCCTGCCACTTCAACTTGAGCCTCATATTTCCAAGCTGAATCCTTTCTTTTTGCACCACCACCCATTTTAATTAACAAAAAGAATGTCAAATTTAAACAACATTACAGTTGCACAAAAAAAAATTAAGAAATTTAAATAATTTGCTCCAAATTAAAAATAAAAAACAAAATATGTTTCAAAAAAAATAAGAAAATGCATCCTCCGATGTCACAAAATAATAAACAAAAAACATGACTAAATAAATAAAAAGAGTTAAAGGTCAATTACATGCATACCATGCAGTTCTTATATATTTAGTATCTACTATCTAGTACCTAAAAAATCATATTTGCATGCACATCTAGAATCTTCTCCATTTTATTAGCATAACATAAATTATACATACAACAAACTCAAGCACAAACTCAAACAACACCACAAATACAAATTGTCTTTATTTTAAAATTTTATATTTTTTGTTCCTCACTCATTATTTGTGCTTTGTAAATTACAAACTTGCAATTACTTTCACACCTGTTAAATCACCTCAGATTCCCAACTATGATGCTCATATCCTATATTAGGCTTAAGTTGTAAAACTTAGTGGGTTTCATAATTCAAAAGCTACGCTCTAGACGACGCTCAAAATTGAAACCAAAGACACTCGTCAACGCTTGAAGCAAGGACGTTGTCGGTGCAGGAATGTTTGTCGACGCTCAAGTGAACGCTCAAAGCTGATGCTGCGCTTGGGATTGCAAAACCTAAATGATGGTTGTTGATCGCAGGGAATTAAGTTATTTATACCTGAGGCATGCCACAAACAACTTGAGGCAAAACGCCTCCAGGGGTGCTTTGAATAAAAAGGCATATGCCTCTCCTGAAGGTTCGCGGCTTAATCCTCGAGGCTATTCTTTAGCGCCTCAAGCGATTTTTTAAACGGTGTGTATAAAGAAAGACCTGGCAAAAGCATACCTTCATCTGTTAAAAATAAATCTCGATTCTTACAATCATGTTGTTTAATCCACAAATAACAAGAGAAAGATCAATTTGCTTAGCCTGATAATCTTTACATTCTTCTCAAAGAAGATACATTAAACTTAAGTTAAAATAATGGATATGGATGAGACAATAAAAGAATTGTTTATTTTCTTAAAACAATCTTTTATTTGTTTTTAAATTTCTAACTTAATGTCCGAAAGAGAACCATATGTTTATTCTCTTGCTTCTTTGTTGTGTATTAATACTTTTTCAAAAATCAATATACTCACATTAAATTCTTGGTACTTGTGCTCATTGTGTGTTAAATATCTCTTTCTTCAGGAGAAAATATACGGGAAGGAATAAAAGGAGAGGCAATATCTATCCTGATATTAATCTAAACTATTCTTGAATCTCGAATTGTTCACATCACCTAGTCTTCCTTTTTTTGTCAAACACTTTTACAAAGTGTTTGATTTTACCATCATTATAATGCTATAGACATGCTCCATGATATGTATGGTATTTGTGCTCATTAAAGAATTTGAACGTCTCCACTTTTTGAGAAGAAGATATTTCCAGTCAACATAAAATGAGTTTCATATTATCTATATCTTTTATTCTTAGAAAGCTTTACAAAGAAAAAATGTCTCTTTTGTGGATCGTTATACATTCTGGGCAGCATGTTTTAAACAGATGAGCCACATTACGAATTTTCCAGAGGTAGTGATATTTGGTTGGATATTTCATATAATTTTCAAGACGCATTGTTCTATTTGAGGTCTGTGTGAGGGAGAGGGACACCTATTAGATTCAACACGATTCTTTTCAAAAATGGCTTTATTTTTTAAATTGTAGTTACAACCATCATCGATCATAGCCAAACTACTGGAATCTTCTAATTAACTGTCTAACTTTTACTTGAGAGCTTTTTATTGTACTAGCTTTTTAATATTATCACTGACTGCCATGTTATTTTTATTTTATTGGTTTGGTATGAATCCTTACATGTTGCAACAAGCTATTTTTTCTAAGAACTCAGTTTATATAGAACTTGTTTTTTGATTAGCTATTCTGGCATGCTGTTTGTGATTTTTATTTACATTTTATTTTAGTGGCTGTTTAGTTGGCTGCAAAATGAGGTGCAAGTAAAAGGAATTCATATTGTGATATTTTAGAATGATTAGTGCAAAATTACCTATGCACCTTACACCAAATCCCTTTTTAGGTAATTTTTTTTAAATGCTCTTGCAAAATAAATGCATAAAAAAATTTCAATTTACTTTATAGGCTTGGTTTGCAAAGCAAAGGGTTTTTTTTTAACCCAATCTTCTACTAAGAGCATGAGAATGATTTTTGGTGTGTTTACATAATTTTTTCAAAATTTCAGTGCTTTTCTGAATTTTTTTGAATCATTAATGGATTTTTTATGTTCTCTATAATACTACAGATAAAAATTTGGGAAGATCGCAAGGTGATGCCCATTGCCATTCTCACTCCACATGACAACCAACCTGTTAGCTCAGTTGCCTTTATGACATCGCCTGAGCGCCCTGATCACATAATTCTTGTAACTGCGGTATGACTGCTTACATATACTTGATTGATCCCCTTATATGTAGGCATGCATATTTTTAACTGTTTCAACCTTTCATATTACTTGATGGAGTAAGATATTTGTAACCGAGTTTTTCTCTAAAATCCACTGCTAGAATTTTATTCTCATTTTTATAAAATTTTTGCTGGCTTAGTCAATTGTGATCCAATTAGAAAGTTGGTGTGAGATCCAATCATCGTTGCAAGCCATTGTGAGTTGAAGCTTGGTGGTCTTTTCATGCCTGCTTTACATTATGTAGGGCAACAATCTGCAGAGGACCTAATCTTTAATATTCATGTTTATGTCATATCAAAATCTTTCTCCTTATTTTTTCCCTCATAAGATTACTATTCATTGTTACTACCTTAAGACATAACATTCTTGTTTTGAAGTAGCTATTTTGCCCTTCAAATAAAACTAGTTATTTTAAAAGCTTGAAGGTGATATGGTTGTCCACGATGCTAGCCACCATAACAAGCACACATCTTAATGGATTGGAATACTAAATGAAAAAAAGCTATACTGCTTATAAATTTATTTAGTTTTTATGAATATTTTTGAAGAAAATTAAATGATAATCATCATATTAAATTTTGTTGGGCAAAAAAGATCAATTTTAAATTGCGTGGCATTTTAAATTAAAAACTTTTAAATAGGTTATTTTAACAAGTAAACTAAGTTTTTAGGTATATATAATAGCCTAAGGATAATCTAATTTTCACTATAATTTATTTCATCTTCGTTATCATCTATGCTCTTTTTTTTGTTATTGAATTTTACGCTTCTTCCTATTTCTCTTAGACTCATCTTTTTTATTTTCGAAGTCTTCTATTCTTGTACTTGGTTTCTTGGACTTCTATTTATCAACTTGTTTCTAAGGAAATTACTTATTTCTCCGAAACTTGATATTTTTTTCTTGTAATTTCGGATGAAGTTATTTATCATTATGTGTACTTACTCTTGATTCAAGAAATAGTGCACTACCCATGCTTGACACCTTAAGCCAAGAGGTTTGATTGGGCATCCTTCAATAATGGCTTCACTTCAAAGATTTGTGAGGCGATATAGCTTCATTAGGTAAGTATTGGACTTGTCTTTAAAAACATTAAATTAGGCAAAACAAAGTTGAATTCCTTCACTTTAATTGTATTTTGTGTGAATGCACAAATATGAAATGCGTGTAGTGCAGAGATCACGGTATATTTCGCGTAAAAATTAGAATGTGAAGATACAAGAGTAGAAGATAGGAGATTGAATGGTCGATTTTTCATTTTTTGAATTCTATTAAATCCTGAATTAACTATACAACATAAATGAAATGATGCATCTGCATTTTTGGATTGCTATAGATGAAAGGCCTTTTTGTGTAGATTACTAAATTGTTGTGGATGGAAAGCTGTTACTTATTGGTTGTTGATGGTAAGTTGTTGGTCACAAATTCAAGATTATTTCAACAATGCTCATGTTGGGTTATATATGCTGATCATGCAGAGCTTGTTGATTAGTTTATCAAAAGTCAAAAGTCATTTTGGGTGAATTTCTGTGAGGATATTTGTAGTTTGAGAGTTTGTCGGAATATAATTAAGTTAGCATAGTCTAAATTTATTTTATAATTTGAGATGAGCCTGTCAATCTTAAGCTTTATAGTCTCATCTTAATGGACAAGATTGTTTTTGATACTTATAGCATTCTAGTTGTCACAGTAGACTAAAGATTATTTTTTTTAAAGATTCTTTTTTTCACTTGAAAGTTTAGTTCTTTCAACAATTTTTTTAACCATATTCCTTCATAATACTAAGTGTCACTATACTATATTTAGCTTCAACTGCTTCTTGAAGCCACGAATTGTTTCATGGTTATTCATCTACTTCCATTTCCCTTTACATAAATATAATAACCCGAGGTGAATTTTTGATCTATTTTACATCTAACTCAATCAACATTTGTAAAAAATTCGATGTACATATTGGATGAATTTTTCTCTATTAGGTATTTTCTTAGTATCATTTTAAGTTATGTTGAATGTTGTTAACATCTTTCATGTGGGCTTCAATAGGTTTATTCATGTGTTGGCTTACAACACAGACAAGAAGTCAAACATCAAAATTGGTGAGAAAGATTTGATGAATTTTGCTCATAAGGTCTTGGTGTCTATATTTATCAATGATGTGCTTTTAATGGTGATTCTAATTTTCATTGTTGGTCAATCAGAATCTCTGCATTCTTACATCCCAACATTCACACTTATTAAGTAGATCAAGAATATTCCTTATTTTGAAAATAAAATACCTTTCTTTTATCATGCCACTTCCGTACTAAGAAAATATATTAGATTTCCTGAGTTTTTTATCTCAAATTCTCTGCTTAGAAACTCTTTTTTAATCTTGTTAACCCTTCTGCAAATCCTTTTTTCAATATAACATCATTTACATGGATGATACGAACCATCTATTTTCCTTTAGCTGATTTCTTTCTAATGAGATTGTGAGTTGATATTGTTTATATCCACATCATTTAGTATATTTTGGTAATTTGTTAAACAAACACTTGCTGTTACTGTTCTGAGGTCATATAAAGCTTTTCTGAGTATTCTTATTGATGTTTATGCGATTTTTCAATCCTTATGAGATCTTCATTCATACTTCCTCAAAATGTCTATCAAGTATCATTAATATTAAGTTGATATAGAGGCTATTCTAAATTTGTCACAAGAGAGATTAAAAGTCTATTTGTGTTGAGCATGGCAACTAGAGAGAAAGTCACTTCTTTGTTTGTATCATATAATTCGTTCGTTATGATTTTCATTAACTCGGGTCTTTCTGAGTTTTATGAATTTTATATGAAATCGTATTTTATCAAGAGAAGTTGTAAAAGCATGAAATCTTGCTGAAAACTCTTTGCAAGTCTTAAAGCATAGATTGGGTATCTGATGCATGGTCATAGCCTTTTTCTTTTAGGACTATAGGATAGTGAAGATTAGTATTTTGTATTTCATTCGTTTTTGAACCAAGTTTGGTTCTTGGCAGTATTTCATCAGTTATTGAACCAAATCTGGGTTCTTGGGAGTGCTGAAGATATTATGTTTGCTCTTTTTTTTTTTTTGGTTTTTTTTTTCTCTCCTAGTGTAGACATAGAACTTATTTTTCATAGGTTGGGTGTATTGTTAAGGTGATGAGATAGTTTATGGTTTCGATGTGGCTTCAGTATGTAGAATGAGGGGCAATGAGAAATATTTATTTTCTCTGGGTTTTATCAGAGACGATGATGGATGAGAAATGAGTTCCATACTAGAGATTCTTTGGCACAGCAAAAAATGTTGAAAAGACTTGGCTAATAAAATACACAATATTGAATTGCATCTAGAATCATAAATACTACTTGTACTAAACACAAATATGAAACACATTGTTACAAGCAATTTTAAATAGTTGGAGTGATTCATTTAATTTCTTCTATGCTATTGTTAGTTGGCTATAAATCCTCAAAGGAGGTGCAACTTCTAATTGATACTGGCATGTAATTCGGCTTATTGCTAGATACATTAACTAGAGATGGCTAATTTAAGATTTCCAGCGAATGATATTTATTGATCCCGTTTCTGTGCTGTTAATCTCAACCCAAATCCTGATTTAAAGAGGACTTCACAGAAGTTTGGTTTTACTCCCTTAGCCATCGAAACGTTCTAAGCTTCCAAGTCTCAGTAGTTGGTTTTGAGGCTCTAGATAGGCGGAAATTCTACTAACTTAACAGGCAAGTCAAGAAGCTAGGTGATCAAACATATCACATACAAAGAAAACAAATAACAGACAAGGGGTATGATAATAGAGAATGATATCGGAGTTAACCCAAACCACAATCGAAAACGGAAATATTATTGCTGAAATTTGAATATGTTACAATGTTGATTCTCCAAAAACAGGAAATAGATGGCCACAACTATAAAAGATACCCAAGGACGAGGGCCAAGGCGGTGCGCACCGGCTCGACAACAAGGTGGGTGGTGGATTGGATGGTTTCGACATTCGCTGGAAGGGTGGTTAAGGATAGGTTGGTGGCCGGTTATAGCAAGTTGAATGGTGGAGTGGGAGAGGGGTAAGGTAGCAGATGGGGTTGTATGGTGGAGAGTGGGCTAAGGCAGTAATTGTATGGTGGAGTAGACTCCGGTTGTATGGCGGACAACTACGACATTCGTAGGAAGGGTGGTTAGGGATAGGCTAGTGGCCGGTTATAGCAGGTTGAATGGTGGAGTGGGAGGGGGTAAGACAGTAGGTGGGGTTGTATGGTGGAGAGTGGGCTAAGGCAGCAATTATATAGTGGAGTAGGCTGCGGTAGCAATTGTGGGCGGGAAGGACAGAGGGTTACAACACAGTAGAGCGGGGTAAAGTAGTGGTTTTACTGCCATAGGGTAGGTTAACTGATTCGGTGAAGCAGCATGTGGAGGGGCATAATTTTTACAACTAGGAAGGGGATTGGGGATGTGGACTGGAAAACAACGAAGAGGGAGAATTTCGGGTTGCAGAGACAACAGATCTGCTGTCCTGCAGCAAATACAGTGGCTGCAACAGCGGGGGGAAATATTGTTGGGATGAGAAAGTCGAAGGATAATCACCACCTCAGAGCGAGATACAACTGGAGCACCACTCATCCTCAGATACAATCCTAGAAGGGAAATGTAGTACGCTGACAATTGTCCAAATAGAAATCACAATAAAAACCTGAACCCTAACACAAGAAAATACATATGAATACTACTCGATAACTAAAGTGGATCCCTCTCACTTCAATGGATCCTAGCCTCAAGCCAAAGGCTAGCTATCCCCTTGGGGCTATCCTAATGAACCGTTTCAATCCTCGTATGAGCCCCACGAAGTCTCTCGTGGTTGGGGGAGCTTCGACCTCATTCGTTGAAGCTTCTATTGACAAGTTGACGGTGACAGAGTTGTAATCTCTCGGCCTTGAAGGTTTTTTTATTACGGCCCTAG